TCAGCAGGTGGAGGAGGGAGGGCGTCATCCTGCCAAGCTGTTCCCTGCTGAAATCCCCACAGCAGTTCTATCTGGAGGAAGACATGGGCAGTCAGGCTTTCTTCGACTTATTCAGTATATTTTAAAATACAAAACAAATATTTAGATAGTCTAGAAAAAAATTCAAGAATTTGTCAACACTTTGACCACAGAAATTATTATCATCTATTTATTTGTTTGTTTGTTTGTTTATTAGAGAGATTCTTGCTACAGGGTGCATGTGTTTGCTGGAGACACAAGGAGAGACAGAGAGAAAGCGAGAAATCACCACCCCACCGCCCAGGGAGAGATGGCCACGTCGCAGTCCCTTCTCCTCCATTCTCCTCTCGGGATTTTGGGCATGGACGCACACCCACCCGGCATGAGATTTAAGCCACTGGATCTGGGACTCAAACCACAGTTGCCCACGTGGGGGTCCAGCAGTGTAACCATTATCCATCTACTGGTCCTGACCACAAAAATTGTTATTATTCTGGATATTGATTTTCAGTCTTTATTCACAGACTCGTTTTGATATACTTGAGAATTATGGATATAATATATACAAGCTGCTTACTTTTCATCTGATAGACCACTTACAATTTTATTTTCAAAGTTTTACCAAAGGGTACATGTATTAGAGAGAGAGAGAGAGAGAGAGAGAGAGAGAGAAAGACACAGAAAAGGAAAGTAAGAAAACACTCAGGGAATCAGCAGATGGTGTAATGGTTGTATCACTGGACTTCCACATAGTCGACTGTGGTTCGAGTCCCAGACCTGGAGGCTTCAAACTCATACCAGGAACATGTGCATGAATGCCCCAAATCCCAACAGGAGAATAGAGGAGAAGGGATTGCAGCGTGGCCATCCCCCTGGGGTGTGCTTTCTTGCTTTCTGTCTCTCTATCTTCCCAGTGAGTGCACGCACCCTATAGCAAAAATCTCTCAAAGAACCCCCCCCAAAAAAAAACCCCAAAAACACCTGCAGTGGAAAATAGTCACATTGGAATCCCTTCCCTTCTATTTCTCTCTCCTTTTGGGATTTTTGAGCATGCGCTCACAAGCATCCAGCGTGTTTTTCAAGCCACTAGGTCTGGGACTCGAACCATCATTGGCCATGTGGGATCCATCTGTCTTAACCACCACATCACGGGCTGGCCTGACCACTAAGTTTCTGATGTTGCTCAATGATATTCGTAATGGCAGTCGAGGAATGCGTGGAGGTTTATTTACATGATGGTACTATTATTGTCTTTGATATTTAGGTTGTCTTAATGTATGATGTTACAACCGAACATCTTCAGATATCTTCTTTCCATAGTTCAGCCTTCACTTTATTCCCATGAGAGGGGCACACACGTGGGGCTCATGTATTGGGTCATCGGAAAAGTCACGACGCATCTTTGCATAGAAAAACATGCCGTGACTTTTCCGATGACCCGGCATATTCCTTGGGCAGGAGCTCCTGCGTGCTTGGCGAAGATTTGGTAAAATCCACGACGGTGTGTCTTCCCGACTGTGACACCCATCAGATGAGTGACCCGTGTGTGATCTGTCGTAGGTGGTGAAGATCCTGGAGAAACACGACCCCCTGAAGAACAGCCAGGCCAAGTACGGGTCCATCCCGCCGGACGAGGCCAGCGCGGTGCAGAATTACGTGGAGCACATGCTCTTCCTGCTCATCGAGGAGCAGGCCAAGGACGCTGCCATGGGGCCCATCCTGGAATTCGTGGTCTCCGAGAACATCATGGAGAAACTCTTCCTGTGGAGCTTGAGACGGGAATTTACCGACGAGACTAAACTGGAGCAGCTGAAGATGTACGAGATGCTGGTCACCCAATCGCACCAGCCCCTGCTGCACCACAAGCCCGTCCTGAGGCCCCTCATGATGCTGCTGAGCTCCTGCTCGGGGACAGCCACCCCCGCCGTGGAGGCGAAGTTAGTCGTCCTGCTCAACCAGCTCTGTTCCATCCTTGCCAAAGACCCGTCCATTCTGGAACTCTTCTTCCACACCAGCGAGGACCAGGGGGCCGCCAACTTCCTCATCTTCTCCCTCCTGATTCCCTTCATCCACCGAGAGGGGACCGTCGGCCAGCAAGCCCGGGACGCTCTGCTGTTCATCATGTCCCTGTCTGCCGAGAACAGCATGGTGGCCCATCACATCGTGGAGAACACCTACTTCTGTCCAGTGAGTCTCTCTCCTGCGTGTGTTTTCACTCACTCCTCTTTTCCTCTAGGAAATAAGGGTAGATACGTTTTTATTTCTTTATTTCACCAGCAAATTGTACTTGGCACTTTCTATGGGGAGATATTTAGGGGACCAGTAGGTGGCGTAGTGGTTAAGGTATTGGATTCCCACATGGTCGACCGCAATTTGAGTCTCCGGCCGGCTGCTTGAAACTTAATGCCTGGTGTGTGTGTGAGCATGCCCAAAACCTTGAGAGGAGAATGGGGGAGAAGGGATTGTGGCATGGCTATCCCCCCCGGGGTGATTTCTCACTTTCTGGTGAGTGCATGCACCCTTAGCAAAAATCCCCCTTCCTCCTTAAAAAAAAAAAAAAAAAAAAAAAAAAAAAAAAACTAAGAAGAAACGGTTTG